GAGAGAGCATCAACGCCTCGCGGGGGGACGTGTATTTCTCGGGGGACGGGAAGGAGTCGTCGCCGGGGAGGGACTTTGCTCTCTTGGTCCATTGCAACCACACGATCATGACCATCGGGACCTTCGGCATCTGGGCCGGTTACCTGGCTGGGGGGGAGACCATCTACTTGGCCAACTACACCCTCCCCGACTCCCCCTTCCTCAAGATCTTCAAACCTGAGGCCGCCTTCCTCCCTGAGTGGATCGGGATCGACGCCGATCTCTCCCCGCTGCGCAGTGGTACGACTGGCTAGAGGAGCTCAGCCGGTGGCTACAGGCTGCCAGTGGGATCCACCCGCCAGGACTTGGCGAGGAGCCGGGGGGCGGGGGAGCTGATGGAGGGGCGGCTGCCGTATTCCTGTGGCTCTTTGGCAATGTACAATGGTAAATTCTGGCTCCTTCTCAGGCTCCGGTTGGCCACCGCTGGTTTGGACTGTAGCCCACTTTGCTCCAGTGGGTTAGAGCCGGGGGCTGGGAGCCAGGACTCCTGGGTTCTCTCCCCGCTCTGGGAGGGGAGTGGGGTCTAGTGGTTAGGCCGGGGGCTGGGCGCCAGGACTCCTGGGTTCTCTCCCCGCTCTGGGAGGGGAGTGGGGTCTAGTGGTTAGGCCGGGGGCTGGGTGCCAGGACTCCTGGGTTCTCTCCCCGCTCTGGGAGGGGAGTGGGGTCTAGTGGTTAGGCCGGGGGCTGGGTGCCAGGACTCCTGGGTTCTCTCCCCGCTCTGGGAGGGGAGTGGGGTCTAGTGGTTAGGCCAGGGACTGGGTGCCAGGACTCCTGGATTCTCTCCCCGCTCTGGGAGGGGAGCGGGGAAGAAGCACGAAGCCTGGGTGTGTGCCAAGCCTGTAAGACGCAGGTGGGTTGGCAAACCACGATCATTATGACAGACAATAAAATTCGAGCTTTATAACTACCCTATCCCAGCCCTGGGGGCCGATTCTTCCGCCCAAGGTTTCTGCCCCCTCCCCAGGGCGCTCAGTGTTGTGGCATCAGGCCCAGCCCTTCCGGGGGGGGGGGGGCAGTGATTTACACCCCGCCCACACACTCTCACCCACTAGACCCCACTCCTTTCCCAGAGCTGGGGAGAGAACCCAGGAGTCCTGAGTTCTAGTGGCTTGAGGTCTGGGAGGGGAGTGGGGTGTAGCAGTTAGACCAGGGGGCTGGGAGCCAAGACTCCCTCTCTCATTCGTTCTCTCTCCCCCCGCCTTGTGCCTGTTTCCCTTCTCAGGCAGCGACGCGCGGGCCGCAACCGGAGACGGACCAGGGTTAAACAATACCAAAGCCTTTTTATTATAGCCCTCGGGCTGCGTGGTTCGGGGTGGGGACCCCCGGCTTCAGTTGGCAAAGATCTCCCCCATGGGGATCCAGATGTTCTTACACTGGGTGGCCTGGTACAGAAACTCCTCACCTGCCCCCTGGGCGGGGTCCTCCCACCGCCGGGGGGCCCCATGGCTCACCCAGGTCCGCTTCAGGTTACCGGCCGAGGCCCATTCCACAAATTGGGAGCCCTGTAGGAGAGAAAGGGTTAAAAGAGGAAGCGGGAGGTGGGGCCTTTCCCCTCTGGGGGGCGCCGGCTCCCATCCGGCCCCAGGGCGGGGACTGGCTGGCCGAAGGGGGATGTGACGAAGTGGGACTGTTCTTAATGTTTCCTCTGAATACAGTGTGGGTGCCTCAGTTTCCCCTATGCATTTCTTAAGTCTCCAGTGTGCATAAATGGCCGACACCCTGTTTCCTGGCAACAAATGGCCAGGGCCCTTCCCCCCTGCAAGGAAATAGCTAAAGGTGAACAAAGAGATCAGGTGACCTCCTGGCCCAGGAAAGAGACAAAGGCCCGAGAGGAGAGGGGCTGGAGGGGGTTTCAGTTTGGGGCTGGCTGGGGACTAGGAGTGAGGGCAGACGTGGGTGTCTGGCTCGCTGGGCCCCAGAATGGACCTGGCTGAGGGGTCCCGTTCGCCGCTGGCCCTACAAGCTCTGTTTTAGACCATGTCCCTGTCATCTAATAAACCTCTGTGTTACTGGCTGGCTGAGAGTCACGTCTGACTGCGAAGTGGGGGTGCAGGACTCTCTGGCTTCCCCAGGACCCCGCCGGGGCGGACTCGCTGTGGGAAGCGCACGGAGGGGCATATGCTGAATGCTCCCAGGAGAGACCCATGAGGGTGAAGCCGTGTGAGCTTCTTGCCCTGAAGACAGTCTGCTCCGAGGGAGAGGAGGCTCCCCAAAGTCCTGTCTGGCTTTGGGGGGAGCAGTTCCAGATCATCGCCCGGCGACTCCGTGACAGGGGACACGCGGTGGGGGCAGAATCGCTCTCACCTGCGGAGACCCGAAGTACCACATGGCGTGAACATCCTGGTGCTGGGCCAGCGTCCGGCTCAGATGGTCCCGATTCCCCGTCACAATATTCACCACCCCCCCGGGGACGTCCGAGGTGTCGAAGATCTGAGTGGGGGAGGAAGCAGATGGGCCCTATTAGCTGCCGGAACCAGCGGGGGTGGGGAGCCAGGACTCCTGGGTTCTATCCCAGTGCGGGGAAGGAAGTGGGGACTAGTGCTTAGAGCAGGGGGGAGAGTTGGGAGCCAGGACTCCTGGGTTCTATTCCAATGCAAGGAGGGGAGTGGGGTCTAGTGCTTAGAGCGGGGGGGGGGAGTTGGGAGCCAGGACTCCTGGGTTCTATCCCAGTGCAAGGAGGGGAGTGGGGTCTAGTGCTTAGAGCGGGGGGCGAGGGGGGCAGTTGGGAGCCAGGACTCCTGGGTTCTCTCCTGTCTCGGGGAGCTGGTTGCATAGGCCAGGACAGAGAACCAGAGAACTGATGGGGGGGGTGCACAGACAAATCCCTGGCGGACGCCATGGGCCGAAGCGAGAAACATTTGCGTGGTCGGATGCAGCCACCGAAGGGAACACATGGCCTGTGTCTGGGGCCGGGCCAGCGGGGTCCACATGGGCCGGCGTTAATTGTTCCCAGCTCTTAGCAGCAGAAACAAGTGACTCGGGAAGGCAATTAACGGGCTCCTTAACGAGGAAGTGAACGGAAACGCTCCACTTGCACCGCCCCCCAGAGGTCACGCAGGCCGGGAGCTGCACTTTGTGCGCAGGACTCTTCTGCCGTATTCGGAGGAGTCCCCTGTGCGTGCCTCAGTTTCCCCATCGTTTTGCAGTGCTGCCCAGTGGGTGTGAAAGCGTTAAAGCTGCTCCGTGCAGGGTGACTATGTTTGGGCCCTACCGACATCATGGATCGTGAAATCTCACCCCCCCGGGACATCTGGCTGGTGTAGGGGAGACCAGATTTCACAGAGCTGGGTGGCCAGAGAGGAGCGGGTGCTCCTAATGTGCTCTGGGCTCCAGACGCCCAGCTCCGAGGGCAGAAGTAAGGGCGGCAATCCCGTGACTCCCCCCAAAATAGCCTTGCGGACACCCCACCTTCTTTTGGGTGTCCCCCTCGCCCGCGTCCGGTGACAACACCGTGAGATTTCAGATGGAAAGATCTGAAACCGTGAAACAGATGCTGCGAAAAATCCGACGACCGTGAAACGGACCCAAAGGAGCCGGGAATTTGGTAGGGCCCCACCTATGCGCTGCAGCCGCCGAACAATTTCGAACCCGTTTCCTCATGTCGAGAGGAATCGAAGCGTCGATGCCGAGCGTGTGTGTCTGTGGTTACCGAGCTCCTGGGAGCCGGTTACCAATGCCATCAAAGGAGCCGGGAGGTGCGAAGTCCCTTTCATGTCTTAATGGCCTCTAGATTATGCAGGTGACTGGCGTCAGCCATAAGATCAAAGATGTGAGACTACTTTGACCGACATTGTCTTCACTTAACGATTCCGGTTCTAATGAACGACCACCTCGTGCCAGTCCCCAAACTTTTGAGGGTGGGCCCCCCTTACCCACCTTACCCATATCCGTGCCCCCCCAGAGCCGGGCCTGCGACTCAGGGGGGGGGGCAGGGGTAAGGGGGCCAAGGCTGGGGGGGGGGGTCTGGGGCCGTGGCCAGGGGGCGGAACTACAGCAGGGCTTGCCCCCAGACTCAGCCCCGGGGCCAGGTGAGCGGGCTGGCCCGGGCCCCGCTGTTGTCCCCCGCTGGATGTGCGTTCATGCCCCCCCCACCAGGGGGTACGCCCCACACTCTGGGGACCTCCGCCTTATGTCAATGAGTGTAACGAGGAAATTGAACGGCTAGACACAGAACAGGGCTGTCCCACACGGGGCTCAAATTCCGGGACAGCGAGAAAAGAGAAACCACCGGCCCGAGCCGGCCACCTCTGGCTTGTGACCGGGGACAAGCCACAGGCAGGGGCCTGGGGTCTCCAAGGGCTCGGCCGCCCCACCTGCACCACCCCTGGGCTTCTAGCCGGTTGGGAGCGTCCCAGAGAGACGCGTGTGCCCGCCCGGAGACTGCAACACTCTGCTTTAAGGACGTGAACCCGCTCGTAACCTACGTGGTTCTTTCCCCCCCATTAGTAACTCTCCGCTTTTCTGTTGTCTTCCAAATAAACCCGTTCGCTAGTTGGGCCGGCGGGATGTTTGGGTGAGATGTGAAGTGACATGGACCGGGGGGTGGCACATCCTTTGGGATCAGTAAAACCTCGTGCATGGGGAATTGGGTTTTTAGTAACTTCTCACTATAAAAACCCGCTGTGTGGCCGGTGAATCGGGCTGGAAATGCCTAACGGGGGATTGTGTTTCGGCTTCTTGTGAACCAGCGGGGGCCTGCAGAAACCCGTGTTACTGGTTGTAAACCACCAGGATTTGGGGGTGGCTGCCCTGTTGGGGGGCAGACTGCCCTGTTTCGTGCAGTCTGCCCCGAGCGTGGCCTTCTCAGTCTTGATCTAGGTGCGTAGAGCCCGGCAAATCGGTGGACAGCTGCGGACCATGTTTGTGGATCGGACGCGGGTCCAAACGTAGCCCTGCAGGGCTCTGCACAAGCATCGGGGTAACGCCTTGGGGACCCTCGCTTGAGATCGGGTGAGGGGAGGGGTCTGTGCAGCGCCCGGCCCCATGGGGACCCCGATCTCAGGTGGGGGGGATGGGTCTGTTTCAAGCAGCGTAAGCCCGGATTGGTGTGTGGGGTCGCTCCCAGCCGGGGCAGCGCAGAAGGGGCGGGACAGGAGCCAGCACCAACAGAGCTATGGTTACTGCTCTCGGCTCTGGGAGAGGAGCGGGGGCTAGTGGTTAGAGCAGTGGGACTGGGAGCCAGGACTCCTGGGTTCACTCCCCAGGCAGAGGGTCTCAGGGTCCAATGGCTCATATGTTCCCAGTAGCTACTTTTCCATCTCTCAACAGCCATGTCCTCCCTTTTTGGCATGGGGAAACTGAGGCACGCGGGGGGCGGGGCTAGCGGACTCCGGGGCGGGTACCTGGCAGAGGTCCAGGGCGGGCAGCGGGTAGCGTGAGCTGGGGACCATCACCACGGCGTTTCCCCGGGCCACGGCGGGGGCCAGCAGACTGAGGAAACTGAGCAGGGGGCGCTCGTCCGGGCAGGCGACCCCCACGACGCCCAGGGGCTGGCGGAGCTGCAGGGTGGTGCCGTGCAGGGGGGTTTCCTGGGGGAGGGGCAGAGCCAGGGGAATGATTCGGGGGGGGGTCCCTACCCCACTTCCAGCCCTAGCGACAAAGTAAACCCCGCCCCCAAGCACCTGCTGCTCTGTTCAGCCTGTGGGCAGAGCCCCACCCC